CCCTGGTGGTGTAGTGGGGGTGCATCGGGCTACTCACTACCCCTGGCCGCTCCTCAAAAGAAAGACGAGGCTTTCTGCTCCCCGAAAGACATACAATCTCGAACCCCACAGAGGCAGTCCTACTCTGTCTTAGACGATCACTATGAGTAGGAATCTACTCAAGAGCAGTGAGTGAGTTGGGTTGGTTTGGACAGTGCATTCATAATTTTCCCTTTGCTGAAGGAAGAACAGATGGTTTGCTCTGTAAACCTTGACCTAACTCACAATAAAAAGGTGGTTGGGGTTTCTTTCCCAGCATTTTCCTTCGTCTTCACATGTAAAGGAAAGAAGAGTCATGAAAATCCAAAGACAAATGGAAACCATTCGTTCTGTGGGCCGCAGGGCCACACACCATCAACATCCACGCCCCTGAGGCCAGAGGAATTAGACGGTGCTCAGCTACCAGGCCAACTGCTCTCAGCGTGAGCACAACGGAAAGTTCTGGAGAGAGTGGGAGAGAAATGTGGAACAAAACTAGTCAGATAAAGACCGCAAGCCTATGGCCCCAAGGCACCCTTCAGGTAGGTCTAAAACGGAACTTGCCCCTGTATTGGAATATTCGGTCATTTACTATCAAAAGGGCAGGACTTAGCCAATGTGGGAGGGTCAGGAAGGAGGGAAAATGGAAACAAGAAGCACACGGGGAGGAAGAGGGAGGAGGGATGGCAGATGGAGAGGGTTGTTGACTGTAAAACTGACGACCTGCTCTGGAAAGCTGCATCTCGTTCACAGTAAATGTGTGTGTGTGCTGCTACAGAAAAGAGCCCGCAACACAGGGAATCCAGGATCGGTAAACCCCTCAGGGCCAACAATGAGAGTAGAGATACCACGAGGATTAGGGGAGGGTGGGGGGAGAAAGGGGAAATCAATCACAAGGGTCAACTATAACCCCCTCCCAGGGGGACGAATAATGCAAAAGTTGGTGAGGGGCGACCGAAGATGATGTAAACTATGGAAATAATAATCTATAACTTATCAAGGGTTTGTGAGGGAGGGCGGACTGGGGAAGGAGGGGGTAGAAATGGGGAGCTGATAGTAGGGGCTCAAGTGGGAAGAGAATGCTTTGAAAATGATGATGGCAGCATATGTGCAAATGGGCTTGACACAATGCATGAATGTATGGATTGTGATAAGAGATGTAAGAGCCCCCAATAAAAGTATTTTAAAAAAGAAAAGGAAAAAATTGTGTGTGTGTGTGTGTGTGTGTGTGTGTGTGTGTGTGTTTTAAGAATTTCCCTTGGTGGTTCGGGAAAACAAATCCAAACCAGCCAACCAATCAATCTATGAATAAACAGACTTTGGATAAATCAATTGAAGGAACTAGACCACACTCCAGACCTCAAAGACGTTCTTCTGCTCTGCTCCTTTCATTCATATGTCCAGAAAACAAGACTAAACTCAGTGCCACGAAGTCGAAGCCACTCGTGGTGACCCTGCAGCACAGAGTGGAGCGGTCTCTCCGAGCTTCTGAGACTGTTCCTTAACAACGGCTCTCAAATGGCTAAAACCAACACCCGGCGTGCTTGCAGGGAAGCAAGAAGCCGCCTGAGGGCCGGCCAGCAGCCACTCACCAGATGTCCGACTCGGTGCCACAGCCTCGGTGCTTCAGAGCCTCTGGGCTCATGTAGTGGGGAGTTCCGGTCAAAGTCGTGGCCAGGTCACAGGATCCCATGAGGAGTCGAGAAACGCCAAAATCCCCTCAAAATAATAGTTAGTTTGTATGAGAACTTCAAAACGACAGAAGTGAAACAGTGCAATAGGTAGTGATTCACACCCTGCTAAAGGTAAACAAAAGAAGTGCTATTTTTTAAATTACACAAGCAAATGTTTTAAAAACAGGAGACCTATTAGGATGAGGATGGCTATGAATCAGTCAAGCGAATTACAAAAGCTGAGGCTTCGTATACCTGAAATTACGGAGATCTAGAAAACTGACAACAAAAAGCTGTTTCGGCTCAAAAATAATGGCAAAAACAAGATGGTCCTGGAAGGACTAACTTTGAAGACACGTTACTAGATTTTGAAGGGGAAAGCTTGTTCTTAATTTCAGTAAAGCTTTAAGATAACTAATCTTGGCCTTTCAAGAACACGATTATAAAAATCTGAATCCATGAGCTTCTCTCTCTCTCTCTCTCTTCAATTCATTTTATTGGGGACTCTTACAGCTCTTATCACAATCCATACATCCATTGTGTCAAGCACATTTGTACATATGTTGCCATCATCATTTTCAAAACATTTTCTCATGACCCCTTGATAAATTATAAATTAGTATTATTTTCATGTCTTACACTGTCTGCTGTCTCCTTCACCCATGTATCTGTTGTTTATCACCGTGTGTGTGTTGGGGGGAGGCAGTTATATGTTGATCATTGGAATCGGTTTTCCCTTTATCCCCTCACCTTCCCCCTACCCTCATGGTATCTCTACTCACATTATTGTCCCTGAGGGGTTTATCTGTCCCGGATTCCATGTGTTGAGAGCTCTTATCTGTATCAGCTTACATGCGCTAGTCTAGTTGGATTTGTAAGGTAGAATTGGGGTCATGATTGTTTGGGGGAGGAAGCATTAAAGGTCTAGAGGAATGTTGTATGTTTCATTGGTGCTATGCTGCACCCTGGCTGGCTCATCCCTTCCTTGTGATCCTTCTGTGAGGGGATGTCCAATTGTCTACAGATGAACTTTGGGTCTCCACTCCAGCCCCCCCCCCATTTGCATCGATATGATTGTTTGTTTTGGGTCTTCTGATGCCTGAAACAAATTCCCCTCAATACCTCATGATCATACAGGCTGGTGTGCTTCTTCCATGTGGGCGTTATTGCTTCCCAGCAAGATGGTCGCTTGTTTATCTTCAAGCCTTTACGGCCCCAGATGCTATATCTTTTGATAGCCAGGCACCATCAGCTCTCTTCACCACATTTGCTTATACACCCATTTTTTTCTTCAGCGATTGTGTAGGGAAGGTTAGCATCACAGAATGCCAGGTTATTAGAACAAAGTGTTCTTGCGTTGAGGGGGTACTTGAGTGGGGGCCCAATGCATGAGCTTCTCTTTCCTTACCTAATATGTTCCATGATTTTATGTTTTTCCTCCCTAAGAACATCCTGCCTTAAGATGAACAGATCTAGTAGCTAACTGCCCCAGTGAAGAGCTAAATATTTATAAAACTATCCTGTCCATGTTTTAGTTATCTATGGTGAGTACCTATTTTTAGGTGACAAAATAAACAAGAGACCTGTAGCAATGATTCAAATCAGTAAGCAACCTGGCTGCATGCAAATAGGAACTCCAAAATGTTTTTTGTGTAAAATGACAATGATGTCTCTAAGGTGAACCAGAGACGTATAAAACCCATAGATATATGAATAGATTTTGGACTCACACTTAATTCTAGCCTCAATCTAAGACCAAATAGTCCTTTATGACATGGCCCTGCTGGATGTTTGCCTGCTGCAGAGATCACTGCAGATATGGGTGCTATAGCAAAGTGTGGTGAAGAAATTAGATGGTGCCCAGCTACTAGGAAGAAATCGTGTCTGAGGTATTAAATGCTTGCTGTCAAACAAGTAACCATCTAAGCAAGGTGTCAACTAAGTCCACATGGAAGAAGCATGCCAGCCTGTGTGATCTAAGAAGTGTAAATAACAAATTCCAAATCTGGAGGACATGGTATCAGAACTTAAACACCTGGTTTACAGAAGGCTTTGGGTGACAGTGGACGCCCCAACTCCATTAAGCCTCAAATGACTCCCCTCTGACCATAGTCAAGGGATGTCACCAGCCTCGTTATCAGACAGCAAACATTGTGAAGTTGATTACGGCAGATATCGTTAAGTGGAAATATGATATCACTTGGGCTCCCTTTTGACCCATTTAAAAGTTGTTTCAGTTTAAAATAAAAAGTAAGGGCAAATATACATGGATGAAGCCTCCGGTGAATCCCCTCTGACCACAGACCAGGGATGTGAATATCATGTGGAGTACATTGGAAAGTGGATTATTGCAGATGCGGTTAGATTAAAATTTAGCACCATATCATTTGATCATGTTTTTGACCCATTTTAAAGTTGTTCTCGTTTTTAATAGTTTCTGCTTTCGTTTTGATTGAGATTTTTCCCTACTTTACTTTGTTGTTTGGTTGGTTTGGTTCGGTATGTTTTTCTATATATGAAATCTAGCTTAGGTAAATCTACAAAAACAATGGATTAATAATGGGTTCTTGGGGGTGTGGCAGGGGAGGTTGGGAGGAAACGGGGAGCTAATAGCAATGAGTATAAGAAAGAAGAAAATGTTCCAAAATTGATTGATTGTGGTAATGATTGCACAATTCTCTTGATATGATTGAACTATTAACTTGTATGATGTGTGGATTATGTACCAATAGATCTGTTTTCAGGAAAAATATGCTTGTTGAATGGACAGATTCACCTACAATCTATAAAATATATAGGAAATGTCTTCTCTCTCCATTTATAACAAATAATCAAGAAAAAAGGCACCTTTTAATCAGGCCCAACCTAGGAAGAGCAAAAATGTGAGAATTTTAAATCAATCAGTGGTCACTTTAATAACTTCTAGACACCATATACTTCAGTGTGACATATTAGTAACATTTAAAACATAATCTTCAATGTGTTTGGAATAGATAATAGGGAAAAAACCTTACCAATTTTAAGTAGGTTATTTTTCAGAAATATATTCTTTGATTTCAAGTCTCGATGCAGTATCCTCCTACAAAAGACACACACACAAAGGATATAATGCAAAACATAAATTTAAATCCAAATATAAATACACCTACCTCCTCGCTTATTGACTATCTTGTTATCTAACAGGTCCTACTTACAACACTAGGGGTACAATGAACATTCATACGGAGCTGAGCTATAAGAAGAAAGAGCCGAAGGGGCTTCTGAGACTGTAACTTTAAAGGAATAAAAAGCCTTATCTTTCTACTGGGAAGCAAATGGTGACCTCACAGTTAGCAGCCCAACATATAACCCGCTATGCCACCAGGGCTCCTTGGGTGACTTAAAACGGCGAAATTTAGTCTTCAAAGGTAGAAGTCCAAATTCAAGGTATTAGCAAGGCCATGCTATCTTTGAATGCTAGAGGGGAAGTCCCTTCTTTGTTTCTTACGTTTAGCAGCCTCAGGTGTTGCTTGGCTTCTAGCATAACTAATCTCTGCCTCCCCCTTCACATGACCAGCTCTTTCTATAACAAGGATGCAAGCAATTCTGAATGAGGATCCACTCTACTTCAGAATGCACTCACCTTAACTAATAACATTTGAAAAGGCCTTATATCCAAATACAGTCGCATTCACAGCATGGCTGGTTAGGATTTCACTATCGTTCAGGGGCCTGTGAGGTACAATTTAATCTATAGCACACGCCATGAGATAAGACAAAAACCAAGAAAGAAGAGAAATAAATCCATAATTTATGTGCCTATTGGAATGATTAGAACAGGCTTAAAAATAACTGTGATCTGCTTGTTCAAGAGAATAATGGCAAAATGGAGAACTTCCTCAGGGAACTTGCTACCAGATGGAAACTTTAAAGACTTAAAAAGGAAATTCTAGAAATAAAAAAATTTTTATTGAAATTGAGAATTCAGGTATGTTTGAAAACAATTAAACCAAGCAGTAGGAGGGAGCGCTATTTAAAAATTAAAATATTGGTTACTTTCAAAGTTGATCCATCATAATGATTAATACTCAGTCTGAAGTAAAAAAGAAAAAAAAGAGTAAAGGTGTGGAAGACTATAAGAGACATCTGAAATTTGCTTAGGACGTTCTAACATATTTATAAATGTAGTCCTTGAAGGCAAATAGGGTGAGCTCATCCAACTTATGCCTGTAGCTAATCAGCAGTTCGAACGGAGAGAGTAAGGGAAGGGTAAAATTCAAAAGAAAAATGACTGACATGTTCAGAACTTAGATAGGAATCCCGATGTCCAAGGAAACCGAGTCCCGAGCAGAATACATAAATAAAGTCGCCAACAGCAACAACTCTCTAGGACTGGAGACTGTTGTGATAATTCAGGTGCTGTGTCAACTTGGCTGGGCCAGGATCCTCAGTGGTTTGACAGTTAAGACCTTGTCATCCCCTGCGCTGAGATCTAACACAGTACAATCACTTCCATAATGAAATCTTCTCACCTCAGGGGAAAGCAATCGACGTCGTTATCCAAATCCGTTTTCATAAACGCTATGTACATCATATGAAGAAAAATCTCAAGCAACGCCTAGGAGATAGCCCTACGTGGAGAGGCTACCGCTTTGAGCTGAGAGGAGCACTGTGGTAGCCTGTGTCCTGGTGCCCAGAGCATCACACCGATGGGGCTCACACCAACGGGACCCTGCAATGAATGGGAGGAGCAGGCACCTCCACCCTTCTAGCGCTGGGTCTGGTCACGCGACTGGCTTTGGTCAAGTCACGTGAGCAGACACAACAGTGGCCAAGTCTGAGGGGAAGCTTTCAGAACCATTGAGTGTTTCCCCCAACTCCCCTGCATTTCCCTCTGCCATAGAAAACCACATACCCGCTGCTGCTGCGTCCTTTGGGTTTGGGGATGAAAACACAAGTCGTGGGGACCTGCAGCAAGACAGGGCTGTGGCTGCAGGCCATTGAGGCTGGGCCTCTTTGTTCACACAGCACAACTCACAACAGGAATGCCTGTTCACGCTACATGAAGTCAAGCGTAAATAGCGCTAGCTTTTACCATGATTCTTTGTGTTTATGCCATAAGCTAATAAATTGTGCTTTCAGATTTAACTCACTTTAAAACAGGTAATTGGGATAAATAAGCTTATTACCTGAAGGACACATCTTAGAACTATACTAAACTATACTAAATATTGAAAAACAGCAGGGGGAAAAAACCAAACAGAAAAAAACTCACTGTCACAGAGTCAAGTCTGACTCAGACCGATCCTATAAGGCAGAGTAGAACCAGTCCTATGGGTTTCCAAGACTGTAACTCTTGATAACAGGAAAAAGCCTCGTCTTTCTCTCACCAACTGGCTGGTGGTTTCAAAATGCTGACCTTTCAGTTAGCAGTGCAACACATCACCCAGACCACCCCAGGACCCCAGGAAAGGAGAAGTTAAATGCAAATTAAATTACATACATCGTGGGGGGGGGGGGGGGGGGGGATGAAATACAGTATTTCTCATATGGGGGAGAAAAATCTACTTTGGATACTGGATCACGGTGGGGACCACCAGCTTGCCCTGCGACTCCCAAGCTCCCCCCAAATGTAAGAAAATGTTCAAGAGGAAATTCAGAGTAGTGCCAGGAAACAACAGCAACATATTGACAGGGATTTTTGGAAAGGCTCTTAAAGGACTCAGAATGAGGAGCCGGAAGCTTCCAGTCTGCGTAGAAGACCTCTCATTGCGGCATCCTCTGTCCCCAACCACTGCAACTTACAGAGTTTTCAGACTTCATTCACATGCACGACCTCAATCCATCTCCACTACAGCTCCAGCAGAGAGAATCCCTTGAGTATCCTTATTTACAAATGGGAAATGAGAGCTCAGACAACTTAAGCAGCATGGCCTAGGTCATAAAGCTAGTAAGTAGTGGAAGCTAACCTAGACCTGAATTCTGTGTGTCCACCATGCTGCACAGCTTACGGTAATTTGAGTACACACTTACAGTAATAGCTCTCTGAAGGTAGGACTTATTTTGAATCTAATACTATTTCACAAACGAATGAATAGACTTGAGTATGAAATTGAAATGTTGCGATCTATGCTGAAAACTTTCACTTAGATGGCTATAATAACTTACTGAATCAGAGATCTCATCATTGGCTAGCTGAATCCAAAGGGATGATACTTCAAATCTGCCATCACAAATATCTAAATAATTAGCCCTACTATTCAATAGTGAGAAAATGTAACCACTTTTGCTGCTTTCCTTAATTCTGTGCATTTACAAGACTTTCAAATCCTCTATTAGTACTCTTTCCCATGAAATGGTGCTTTAAACTCATCTATTTTAATGATTACTAAGTAAACCCAAACATATCAAAAATATTTGGATTCTTGAAGCTACCAGATTGCAAACAGTGGTGCACACAAAACGCAAAAGTTGGAATCTGTACATAAAGTGTTGTTTTGACTTCTTTTCCTTGTGTAGAAACTAACCATCTGCCAGAGAGCAAGAAAGAAACGGAACTCAGCAATGTGACGAGATGTACAGGGAAGTCTGACATCCAGCAGCTTTCAACGGTTTATTAAAAGATTACTTGGCCGTCCTTTTATCCTTGTCAGCATCGTTTCACATCCTTTAAAAGATTGCTCAGAGTTGTCAATAAGCCAGTGGCTATCTGTATCATCAAGCATGTGTTTGAGAAGAGACAGGAGAAAGCAAAGAATAAGCTGATGAGTTTTTAGGCTTTCAGAGCCCAGAGACGATCCGTTTAACCAGAATGAGGCCGTGGCCAGTCAGCCGGTTTACCTGATAAAGCACCACTCTCATGAACATGTGGCTACCCTACCCCCGGTGAAGCATCCAAGTGCCCACTGGCAAGAACACCTCATCTCTCCACCTTTTTTTCTTTTTTAATCTATACGTGTCCCTTGTCTCAAATATATTCCTGGCTTTTGATGAGTTGGCAGAAGTTACCATCTAGAACTTTCTTACTTTTGATCTATGAGAAACTAATAAAAACTTTAAAGATAGGTTGTTGGAGCCAAGAATTTGTAGATTCATATAAAAGACTCATAAACCATTCTCTGACCTTCTGCAGAAGATATTTCACATCAAAACTGACGGGTGGCCTGGAGACTTCTCTCTGAGGCCAAAGACCATCTCTCATGACAATGGCTCTGCCCCTCCTGAGATGGGCCCCCAGCTCAGTGTTCACTGACACACTCCAAGGTGACCCTGCAACTCATTTGTAGCATGGAAGAGTGTTTATAGCCCAAGGTGGCGATAGGATGCAAAAAATTTATAGCAGGCTACAGGTGTGCAGTTTGTAATTCACAGGATATGAGAAGATCTAAGGGAATGAATTCAATACAAGTTTCTGTCTACTAGTCAAGGCCAACTTGAAATTTAGAGAAGCAACAACAACAAAAAAAAGCGGTACAAGTAAATCCTCTAGAAACCAGCACTCAACAATTTCCTCAGATGAAAGCATATTGTAGATGCTTAACTATAGCCCCTGATCCTTTGTTCTTGTTTTCTTTTAATTTGACCCCACACACACCAAAAAACCCCATCATTTTCCAAGTTGAGCGCTGACTGTTGTTTCCGGTCACGAGTGCACATACCTCTCGTGCATGTAGCCAGCTCCCAGTAACAGCTGCAGGAACCATTCCATTATTTGCTGGGGGGGAAACGTTTTTCCAGCTTCTTTGTATTCCTGAATTTTATAATCCAGATCTCCGCCCTGGGGGGTAAAAGTGTAATTTTTCTCTGAGGTAGTTAGTTTATTGTGCCAACCTGGATGATAAACACATGTGGGATTCATTGAAGGGCAGAGGGATAAATGGCTAGGTGAGCCTCACCTCCCTTGTCTCTTGCTCTTTGATCATTGGACCAGTGTGCGGCTGCCTTGCTTGTTCTGTGCCTCCATTTGCAAGCTACACTACCTGTGGGACACCCAACCCGTGGACTGTGTTACTGTAATTTGAGGTTCATTCAAGACCTGCTTTGCCACACCATTGGAATTTACATCTCTTGAGCTGGGGACCCTGTTATCTGGCTGACTGTTGGTGGACTGCCTTGCTGTTTGCTGCCTGTGCCCAGAGAGCCTGAATTGTTCTACAGAGGACTACCTGGCAGCCCTCAAGATTGAAGGACTGCCAGTCACCCCCCAGTTAAAATTTTGAAATCAACTTCTCTTATAAAAAAGTGAGCACATACAACTCTTAACAATCACTCAGGGCAACACTGCACAGGGGGCTGACAGTTGTGGGGGAGACTGTTTTGGGTTTGGCACACCAAGACGACCCCAGGCTGGGGACGACCTAATTTTCATTTTCTCTGTTTAGCTACAGTGAAATCTGCAAGAACCAGAAGCTGTATATGCTGGAGACCTGTCAGAGGGGGACAACTCAAATATTTCCCACTAAAACAAGTAATAGAAGACAGAAAGGCTATACCCTATCAAAGGCGGAAAACTTGCAAGACCTGGAAAAACTAGGCAAGGCCGTTGAGTTCCAGCTCTTCCAGGTTTCGTGGCAAAGTCCTCCCAAATGCAGCAATTTGTCATTTATGGTTGGTCCCAAGCACATCGTTAGGGTATTTGGTCAATTGATCTCTACCCTTCAATCACTTACTGGTGATATTTAACATCAGCATGTTATTGTTTTGTGCAGTTGAGTCTATTCCAACACTGGTGGCCCCATAGGGCAGAATAGAATTGTCCCCTGTCCCCAGATGGCTTTCTAATTTTTAAGGACTGCTAGTAGTGAAGTCAGGAGCCCTGAGGGCATCATAAGTTACATATTGGCTGGCTAACCATACAGTTGGTAATTCAAACCCACCAGCTGGCTCTGTGGGACAGAGATCAGGATTGTCTGATGGATTGTCCCTCAGAAACCCACAGGGACAATTCGACTCTGTCTGACACAGGGGACTCAGTGGCAGTGGGTTTTGTTCAGGGTTCATGAGCAGAGAGGGCTGCTCACAGAAAGGTTGGCGGTTTGATTCCACCCGTCACTCTGCAAGAGAAAGATATAGAGGTCTGCTTCTGTAGATTCACTGCACCTCCCGTGATGGTTTCAAGGCCCTTAAGCCCCAGAGGGAATGGGCAGTGGTGCACCCCCAATCCCTACAGCTCTTTGGACTACACCTGCCCTGCAGCTGTGAATCTTTTCACTGCAGGCCCAAGGCTATGAGCACTGTGCCCCCCCCCCGCCCCCCTCTGCTGCAAGGGATTGCTGGCTGCCCTGGCCAGGCCCTGTGGGTTCCTGGCCCTACACTGCAGAGCTGGTTGATCAGGATCAGGAGGTCGCTATGCTGCCAGACCTGCCACCACCAGCTTTGGTCTGGACGCTCTCAGACCTGGTGCGGTGACCATCTCTTCACATCCTCCTTATGCCCTGATGGACCCCCCATCCCCAAGCCACTCCAGCCCTAGTGCTAGACAAGCACAAAGTTCCTGACTGGCTGCCAGTGCAGCCTCTGTCCGGCCCAATGGCACACTAGCAAGGCCGGTCTCCTGTCTCTAAGCCTTGTCCAGGGGGCTCCCATAAAATGTTGGTACAACAGGCTTTTCAGGGCATTTACACGGACTGCTTGTATATATGGTGTTTGCACAACATCCAAATAGAGCAGCATGCTATTTCACAGAAGTAGTACAGGATGTTATACGTCATGGACCTGCCTTTCAACTGCCATGGGACATGAAAATAAGAATGTCAAAATTTTCTTGGATAAGTTACGTAACTGCTCCCTTTGATCTTAAACCCTGAGAAAGTCTAAATATTCCCTGATGAAAATAACGGGCTGATGACAACTGTGTTTGGTCTTAGAAAGGGGCGAATAATGTAGGTCCCATCAAGAACAAGCAGTCAGATGGAAAGAGCCTGGGGTTAGGTTGTATCTGTCCCCCTCGGGACAGAGGCATCTTTAAATAGAAAGCAAGAGCATTTGCAGGCAATGAAACGAAGGGAAATTACTTCTAATCAAACATGAGGTCAACTGACTAGCTCACTTGTAATGCATTTTTTATTTCCTTTCAGTGCCATGTGCAAAATATTTGCTACACATGCTCTCTCTTTGCCTTAACAAGTCAAAAGCGGTACATCGAACATTCAACTGGTAGCCTATCCCAGGCTCAATTTACTGCTGGGTTTTCTGGGTCAAGACGATCAAAGCAGGTTGAAATTCAAAAAGGGAGTGAGTTAACTCTTTGACTTCCTGTCAGGAGAGCATCATTTCCTTCTCATTCTCCAAACACAGTGGTGTCACAAATAGGAAGCAGGGGGTACAGATCGGACCAGGTGACGCTATTAGATGTGGCGACCTCAAAATGACTCTTCATCCAATTTCTGAGTAGTGATTTTGCAGATATGTATCATTTTCTATTAAAATATCCCTGTGGTCAGCTATAACAACAAAATCATTTTCATGAGCCCAGTGTACATGTATCAATACTTACCTCTCAAACTCACAGCCATCGAGTCAATTCTGACTCTGGGCAACCCAATAGGACAGGGTCGAGCTGCCCCTGTGGGTTTCCAAGACTAACTCTTTGCGGGAGTAGAAAGCCTCTTCTTTCTCCCTTCACGTGGCTGGTGGATTTGAGCTACCCAATGCATAACCACTACAGCAGCATGTAGTAACCCTTTACTCACCCACAGAGCTAAAATGATCAGCCGGTGTACTTTTTTAACCATCTAAGGCATAGTTCTCAACCTTCCTAATGCTGAGACCCTTTAATACAGTTCCTCATGCTGTGGTGACCCCCCAACCATAAAATTATTTTTGTTTTAACTGTAATTTTGCTTCTGTTATGAATTAAGCGACCCCTGTGAAAGGGTCGTTCAAGCCCCAAAGGGGTCACGACCCACAGGTCGAGAACCGCTGATCTAAGGCATTCTGGTCAGAGCTGTCACCATGATTCAAATGATGCTTCAAGTCCCATGGTTTCACCAGCAAGAGCTAAAAGCACATGCTCTTGCTTCCATTGCTGCCAGCAGTCACTAACTTCATCAAATAGTCCGCTGTTCTACCAACAGCGTTGTGATAAGTAGCATCTGTGATCCTATGTCAATAACTTTTTTTTTGAGAAAGAAGTAGTAATTAAAGGAAGACGAAGGAGAAAAAAAAAATTTTAAGGCTTCCAGTCAGTTACTAATAATGTTGTGACTCAACATAATTTAAAATGTGTATTGTTAGTATTCATAGTCTAAACATTAGTGCATTTAAGGAGTGCATAACTGTGTTGCTAACGTGTTATTCTAAGCACTGAACTGCTAACTGTAAGGTTGGGCATTTAAACCACACACGCTCCCCAGCAGGAGAAAAGACGCTGCTGTCTGCCACCAGCAGAGGTCTCCAGAAATCCTACGTGGGGGCATTATGAGTCTCAATCGACCTGATGGCAGTGCACTTGGTTTGGTCTACTTCTGATTCCATGGTTAAAATTGATAGTAAATATTATTGAAGATTCTGGCTGGTCCACGGCGTGGGGAGGGGCGGGTGGCAACACCATGAGTGGTTTCGGTGGGGGGTAGCGATCTAGCAATGCAACTGCCTTCCCATGTCTGAGAGTTTGCCAGAACTCTATTGGCTCGTGCAAGCTGTACTATCATAAATTTCTATAAATTGCAAATGTATTTTTGGATAAAAGATTATCATCGCATCCTGTGAAGCAAACCTGAAAGCCCGTGAGATCAAAGGTGAGCTACAAATACACTTATTTTTTCCATTCCAATTTCTCTTTTTCATCAAGATGATTCCGGAAAAGTTTCTTCTCCTGCCTTAAAAACTAACGCAGAAAGACTTTCTTCCATGACATCATTTGCAGAAAGGCAATATCTGCATTTTCCCAGATCCTTCATTAGTGCCAAGAGGAGAGAAAAGAGAGGGAAAGCTTGCCTTGAGGAGATGCCAGCAAAACTGTCTGCCAGCTTCTCTTCTCAAAGTGATGATTCGTTCCTTGCGACGGTCACACACAAGCAGGACTGTCTCTATAAATACGGTCTTCGTATATGCCATGGTCTGCCCCACGGGTAATAACACCGAAATTTGGATCAATGTGTCTGTATGAAAACAGCATTCCTGTCGAGGATTTAATCTCAAACTGCAATGTTGCTTTCCGTTTCCTACCATCATTTTAAACAGTGGCAGTTGATGGGGAGGAATTTCTACACAGTTGCACCCATTTCGTATTGGTTTGATCTCACCATCAGGGGAGCGCATTCTCTCGGTGACACTCATGGTCAGTCTGACAATCACCCCCTTGCTCTCCTCTCCCAAGTAATTAGTAGAATTTGAATGTCTATTTAAGTGCACGATATGTTCTGACTAAATAAAGATATATTTAGAGTACTGGGGCAAAAGTAGAACGTTGGAGAGGAGGCCTCAACATAAGGTGTCAAAGGGGCATTAGCAACCGCCCTCCTCACTTTCTTGCTGAGTAGAATCCAGAAAGGAAGACATGTAGTGGTGCTTAGTATGAAGCGAGGGGCACGTTCTATGAACAGGAAGAAGTAATACCAAGAGATTAATCAGAGATCTACACCTGGCACTCTCCAGGTAATCCCCATATTTTAAATTTGGTACTTTACCCCAAAAGAAGAAAGAAAACCATCAAAAGCTCCACACCAAAAACACACAATCTTTGCTTGCATTTACTTGTTTTTGTTCATAAGCATTCCACGATTTATTTGATTAGGATTCAATGACAACAGACAAGTCGGCCATTATTGAACACAC